ACGTCCCCGAGTACAGTGTTGTAACTGGAGCTTGGCTCAGCCAACGGGGGTCCGCACCTCTCCGCCCCCCACCTCTGACTGCGAGTTGGCCTCTAATGGCCCTGGGTCTTGGGCGGCTTGGGCTCGTGGATGACGGCGGCCGCCGACAGCCACGGCCCGATGGCCCGGGCAGTGCTCTGCTTGGCCACACTGTAGTGGCTGATAACCGTGTAGAAGCGGCTCCTGGAGCTGGGGTCCTGGGACGAGTAGTAAGCATCCAGCGAGGCCGGGATACAGCGCTTGTGCTGGGGAAGAGAGGGACAGAGTCAGGGGCAGCCCACAGACCGCCTCCAACCTGCCTCGTGACACAGCCACCCCTCGGGGGCCACAGCCGGTGAGCAGGGGACAGGACCTCGGCAGGCCTCATCCCCAGCCTCATCACCCTCATCATCATCGAAGCTGACGCTCATGTGAGGCCAGAGAAATAACCCTGACGCCGATGCTGTGCTGGCGGACCGTGTGGCCGCGGTGGCTCACCTGATCCCCTTCCCTTGGCTGACCCCCGTCCCCGACTGCTTCCCTGGGTCACTGCCCTCAGCTGCGCGCCGAAGAAGCGCCTCGCCTTGAGGCGTCACACCGCAGACCAGACGCGGAGGACGTGTTTTCAAGGGAGAACGATGAGTATTTGATGCCCTCGTTTTGGAATGACGTGTGACGTCGTAAACAACGTTCTCACCTCCACTTCCTCAGACGTAGAATGGGGGCTGTGACACCGATTTTTCAGAAGGAGCATTGAGGGGATGGTTACGAAAAGGCCTAACAGGGAGTGGCACCTGATAGGTGCTCGGTAAAGGGTGATTATAAATGTCAATGTCACCCGCTTCGGCTCCAAAACAGATTCTATCTCTATTGCGATTAACATTAGCTGAGAACCCATTGTCTAGAAGGCCCTTTGCGAACTGATTCTACTTAAATTCTCTCCCTAAGGCCTCGTGAAAGCCCTGCGGGTGGGCGGTATCTCACCCACTTTGCAGGCGAGAAAACTGAGGCTCAGGGGACCGAGGAGACGCCTGTGTCATGGGGCCCTTTCTGTTATCCAAGGGAAGGGGCTCAGGCAGAGTGAGGGTCGGGGGGGGGGGGGCGTCCAGATGCACATCTGGGGACGGCCACCTCAGAGGCACCCGCTCCGCATCTCCGCGGGGCCACTGTGGGGAGAAGGAACCAGCCATGAGACCAGGAGGACCCCCACCGAGGCAGAAACTCCAAAGATGGAATAGTGTCTCTCTGTAAGGAGGGTGATTCTCTCTCACTGCCGACATGTGGCCCTCTGAAGCCCAGCCACTCTGGAGAGTGTCACCTCGGGAGAGGGACTCTACTGCCTGCTGGGGACCCCGTCCGTCATGAAAACCCCAAAACTCCGTACCAGACAGTCCATTTTAAACGGTCCGCAGGGAGGTTGCCATACCCAGCCTTTGGATGCTGAGGAAAAGAAGAAAGACACTGGAGCCACTCACCTGCCAGGCGGCCCTTACCTTGTAGACAAAGCCCTCTGGGCAGCTGTGGTCGTAGGTGAAGGCTTTGTAAACCACCAGGAACACGATGCAGGCGAGGAAGGCGAGAGCCAGGCTGACGAGGATGGTGACCTGGAGGAAAACAGAACCGACAGTCACGCAGCCTCCGCTTCCTGCCTCGGTCCCCACGTGCAGCCTCGAGCCCCGGAGCTGGCAGGCAGCCTGGTGTGCTAGGAAGAGGAGGGGACACCGGGGTCCGAGGAACTGGTCTGTCTCTGCTCAGTTACTAACTCACAGTGTGACCGTGAGCAAACCGCCTGCTCTCTCTGGGCCTCGGTTTCCCCTTCTGCCGGATACTTTATGAAGCCCCTTCTTGGCCCGATGCGTGGTTTTCCATTCATTCACTCTTCCTGTTAACCGTGTGAGTGGTGGGGAGGTGACCATGAAACCCATGACACCGGGATTTCCGGTGCTTCTACCTTCCACCCCCAGCACCCCGAGGCCAGCTCTGAGCTCCAATCTCAGGCTATCAGCAGCTCGCTTTGCCTCCACTGGGGTGTCCCATAGGCGCCTCAGACACACGCCCAACCAGACCTGCTCCCCTGCTTTTTGCCCCACCCCAGGGAACGTCGATTCTGCCTTTGTGGTCACTCAGGCCAAAAACCTCGATGTCACCCTGGACTCTATTTTTCTCACATCCTACATCCAACCTACCAGCAGAAGCCATCATTTCTGTCTGCCAACACATCCATAATCTGACCATGGCTTCTTGCCACCCCAGTCACGTCCACCCTGGTCCAAGCCATCATCACCCATCACTGAAACAGCCTCCCCACTAGCGGCCTCCTTGACCCCTCCGGTGTGTTCACACACAGCAATCAGAGAGGTCCTCTCAAAATCTAAATCAAACCGCGTCCTGTCTCCACCCAAAGGTGTCTAATGGTCTCCAGGTTGCTCAGAGCGAAAGCCCAGCTCCTAACCGTGAACTACAAGCAAGCTATAAAAAATAGTACAGCACGAACAAACAGAGGTAGCAATGAGCACTTGTCAGAAAGAAGCGGATGGCTGAGTCCAGAGGCACCTCCAGGCGTGCACTGGCGGCAGGTGACTCAGCCCCTCGGTATCGGGCGTCTAATGTAACATAGGCAGCTTTTTTTTCCATGTTATTTCTAAAAGCTGGTGGTCCTGTGAGTCAGTTGGCCTAGAAATGTGGCAGAATTCCTGTCTTGGAGAGAAGGTTTCTTTTGATTTGGGAGGATGGGAGGGGGTTCCCGCCCCATCTCCTTCCTACCTAGGGCACGGCGTATGCAGACAGGAGGATACAGGAGTCTACGTTGCTGTAAACAAATCGAGTTCTTTGTTGGCAGCTTTGAACGTTGGATGGGAGGAACGTGGAAATGTAAAGGGAAGGCGGATCTGGGGTGAGGTGGCGTCTGCCTGGACCCTACGGCAGACGCTGTGAGAATTTTTTTTTAAAGTTTTAGGACGGTGTGCCATAGCGATATAATAAGAAATATCTATCTTTATATATCTATCTCTCTATATATAGAGAGAGAGATATATTCGGTCTTCGGTCCCACGAGGCACAGGAGTCCGAAAACCCTGGGGACGTCCTACGCGATGAGAGGACTAGCAGCATCTTTTGGTCGAGTGTTGGGTTTTCGTCCTCAGTTCCTGACGTAGCTCAGAGCCATGCAGGTGAAAGCAGCGTATCTCATTATTCAACCACACCTGGTTCGTGTTAGTGAGGTGACTTTTGGAAAGTCTTGAAGGGGGGGGCGGGTTGCCAGGGAAACAACCTTGTGCTTAGAAGGTTGGACCTTTCAGCCTTACTCTCCCACTCTCCCCCAACTCCCCACCTCCGCCCCCCATCTCAGGGCAGGGCGAGATGGAGCTCCCTGGCCAGGGATTTAACCAAACGCATCTGTGTCATGAGCCGCCACAGACACCTAACTGAAGAGGCTCAGAGAGCTTCCAGGCTGGCGGACAGAAAGGCACCCACACGCTGGAGGGGGGGCACCCCACGCACGGGGACAGATGTGCCCCAGAGACCTCGCTCCGTGCACCTCATCTCAGGTGCCTGTGGGGGTAGTCTTGCAGGGCAGTCTAAAGCCCTTAGATCCAGGCAGTTAGTGTGAGAATTGAGTTAAATTGGAGATCATCCACTCAACGTCCACTGAGAATCAGACAACTGCTTAGTTTGGAAAAAAAACCACACGTTTGGGGCCAGAGGATTGTGAGAGGATAGAGAAAAAGTATTTTTCCTTTTAGACAGTAACATGCAGAATTCAGTTCTGAGCTACTGTCGACACAGCGTGCTGTCTACCCTCCATTTGTACCCTGAACCCTCGGCTGCAGCCTGTCACACACCCATCAGCCTCCTGCCCGGGCTTGGGCCGGTCACAGTTTGAGGTGAGGTGGTGCAGAGATCAGACTGGAATCACCTGGCAAGATGTGGGGGCAGGGAGAGGGAGGGAGGGAGGGAGAGAGAGGGGTGTCAGTGGAGGCCAGAACCTGGGACAGAGAGGCCCGAAGACACATACACCCCCAGAGGGCCCCCAAAGACAGTACATGATTAGTACGGGGAAGGGGGCCACCCAGGACCACTACCCAATGCTGAGGACCTAGAAACAGGTGTCTGGAGTACAGATGTAGAGAATGTTAAAGGCCCAGACTCCCCAATTCCCAAAAGCCAAAAAGTGGAGACAACCCACATGTCACCGCCTGATGAACTGGATAAGTAACTTGTGGCCAGTGCATATAAGAGACTGTTATTCAGCCACGGAAGGGCATGAAGTACTGGTAGATGTCACGCACGGGGGTGGACCGCGACACCTTCGTGCTACAGGAAGAAGCCAAGCATAGAACAGAAGGCCACATGTTATCGGGTTGTTCTCACATGAGATACCCAGAACAGGTCCGTCCGCAGGGACACGTGCAGACTGGCGGTTGCCCGGGGCTGGCTGGGGGGCGGGCAGTGACCGCCAAGGTGGACGGAGCTTCCACTTGGGGTGATGAAAATGTTTTGGGACCAGAGAGAGGTGACAGCTGCATGACAGTGTGAATGCACTAAATGCCACGGAACAGCTTGCTTCGAAGTCTATGTTATGTGAGTTTTTCCTCCACTTAAAAAAATGCCCAGAGCCCAGGCTGATTCTTTCTGTCAAAGGGACCCTAACCTCCTGGTGTTCCCTCAGCAGAGCCGCCCACGGGGCTGGGTCACGGACGCACTCACAGACACAGCCGGACAGAGGTGCAGCTTCGGACCTCACACGGGTGACGCAGAGGTGGGGAACGGCCGCCGGCCTGACGTGGGGTGTGGGGAGACCCCCAGGAAGCCTCCCAGTCCAGGGACTGTGTGGGAGCCCACACCCTGACCGACAGAGGCCCAGGCCTCTTGGCGGACTCAGAAGCAGGACAAGACCTCCCAACGCGGGCGTCCCCAGGCTGGGCTGGACACTTCCCCTGGCCAGCAGCTGGCTGGGCGATGGCACGGGGCCCAGCAGGCCTGTCTGTGGGACAGGGTCCCCTCACTGGGTGGGGGGGGTGTCTCTTTCATTCCTGCCTCCAGCAGGGGCGGGGTCTGCTCAGCCAAGCTCTCGCAGAGCCCCACAGGGCGAGCTCAGCAAACACTTTTGGAAAAAGAAAAGGCGGGGACAGATCCCGAAGGACTTCGCCCAGACGGCCCGCGCCCCGCGGAATCGGAGGCTGCAGGTCGGGACGAGCCCATCCTTACAGGCATCTTGCGTGATCGCCACATGCGGCCAGGAGTGGGGACAGCCGCTCCGGCAGGCCTGTGTGTCAGCGGCGCTCAAGCTGGCCGCACAGCCCCACACTCGCCGAAGCCGCGTGTCCAGTGGGCTGATGCCCGGGCCCAGTTGCCACCCTGCTTGACAGCTGTGTGAACAAAGCCGGGCACCCTGTCCACGGCCCCTTGGTTCCTGACGTCGCAGAGATTCTGGAACGTCTGACTCCGAGGCGCTTGGTCCTAACTGCTACCCTAACCGGCCTTTCGGTAAATACTTCTCGGTCCTGCAGCCGCGTTTGCCCGCCATAGTGAATGAAGCAAGACCCGGCACACCGTGTGCTTATTCTTAGAGGACGGATGTGTCACCGCAGATGTGGAAGCCCAGGCGTTAGATGGGGGGAGGGGTGCAAACCAAAACACCCCCAATGGTCAGCCAAGCTGGGGTGCGGGTCGGGGCCCTCCTGCCTGGAGCCGGCTGTCTAGACCGAAAGCCTGGCTTTGCCACGGACTTGTGTGTGACCCTGGGCGACTCCCCGGGAATCCTCAGCTCGTTTCTCTGGAGGATGGGGTGACACCAAGGGCCACCTCACGCTGGCTGCCGTAAGGTGGACTGTGGTGGCACACGGAGCCCCACGGCAGGCCTGGCCCGTGGTAAGGAGCTCGGCCGGCACCCGTGGAGCGTGAATGTGCATCACACCACTGCGTGTCCTCACAGACCTGTGGGCTGGGTCCCCTCGACCTGCCCATCCAGAAGCAGATGGCACCACGTGGCATATACGAGGGCGGGTGAGGGTCTGAGCTCAGGCCTGACGTCCAGTTGCCTGACCACACATTATGCTGCCGACGAATCTGTAACTACGCCAGAGTGTGTTTTCGTTAAAAACGCACCGTGATTCTAAGAGCAACATCGGAAATCCAAGAGGGAGAACACCCACCACGATTCTGGCATCGTCTCAAGTCTGTTTCTGCACCTTGCTACTCGCTCCCGTCCACACTCGTCCCTGCAGAGAGCTCCGTTCCTTCTGCTTCTTCCCATTTCACCCACTCGAGGCCCATCCGGCTTTCTATGATCACCTGGAACCTTCTCGCACACCTAGTGTGGACCGCCCCGGAACCAAGGCAGGCCTCGGAGTCACCATCTGCAAAAGGGCTTTACATCATTACACGAATCTACACGAAACTGTCACCAGGCACGACCAGTAATGCAGACAGCAAAGTGACATGTCAAGGCACAAGTGACAAATGAATGCTCCTTGCTGCCACCCCCGGTACTGTTTGTAACTGTGCTTCATGAGAGCTAAATTTGGTTCAGGCGTTTCCTGAGCACGAGGACCATCGGGTGTCACAGTGTGTGGCCATCAGCTGTGACCTGTCCTCCCCGACC